TCCGACCGCGCTGCCTCGCCCAGGTCTCTGTCGCTGCGCGCGCCCGCTTCGTGGCCCTGGGGCGGAATGTCCCGAGTGCCCGCGGCCACCGAGGAGCTGAGCCGCGCGCTCCGTCCGGAGCGCAGAAGCGTCAACTAGTGACCGCTCGGAGTTCTTCCCTCCGGGGAAATGGCAACGCTTCTGAATGTAGGCCTGGCCACCACGAGGCAAATCAAAGGCTCCTTTGTCTCCAGTTTCTCCCCTTTCCCCTCCTCTGCACTCCAGGCGCCCCTAGTCTAACTTGAGGTCGCCAGAACACGCTAGAAATGAAGGGAGGACCGCCCTTTGCGCCTGGGTGCCCCTTATCTGTCTTCCCATCCCCTCGACCCTCGCTGTCCGCACGAAGGGCTGGATGCTGGTCCCCACGCTTCGCGCCACCCTCGGCTGCACTGACCCTCCTACCCCGCACCTGGGCAGGTGCCCCTGGAGAAAACTGCCCGTGACGGCGCAGGTTAGGCAAGCCTGAAACCGAAGCCCCATTTGACTTCTAACAGATTTCATAACCAAAATCAGTGAAAGATTAAATCGTAAGGGCTTAGTGAGAATTCTTTCAAAATTTTAAGAGTTGTTACAGCTTGGTTTTTGTTTTTTACTTTGCATTCAGAACATAGCTGGTAAGAGTCAGCCAAACATTTCTAGATGTTAGGGATATAGCAGTGGCTTTAAAAAAATTTTTTTTAATTTGTAAGAGTTTATTTGAGCCAAACCAATGACATTGACAGAAGCAAGATCTCATGCATAGGCCTTTTTAAAAATTTTTTATTTTTAAGATGTCTTAAATTGGCATTTAGGAAGGAATCTGGAGGAATGTGATGTGGTTTCCAATGTATTATCGCTTAATCACCTCCTAGGCAGTGCTCCAGGTCCGCAGATGAGTAATTTGGATTCTGAAACGTGGATAAGTCCACTCCTTTTTAAAAAAATGTATCTTTATTGATTTCAGAGAGAGGAAAGAAGAGGGAGAGAGAGAAACATCAGTGATGAGCAGGTCATTGATCGGCTGCCTCCTGCACACCCCGACTGGGGATCCAGCGCCACCGCGGGCATGTGCCCTGACCGGAATCGAACCCGATCTCCTGGATCCTAGGCCGATGCTCAGCCGCTGAGCCTCCCCGCCGGCCAGCCCCCTGCTTGAGTGCCGGGGAAGAGCTCAGTAGGTGTTGCACCGACCAGGGAGAACTGGTCCTGAGGAAATGTAAAGGGAGTGGGGCCCTGGGGAAAACTGTTCAAGACAAGTTGGTCAGCCCTCCTAATTTTTTCTTTTTTTAAATATTTATTTAGAAAATCACACAGGGAGAAGTAATGGGCTTACTTCTTTGCCAAGCGATGGAGGCAAAGGAAGGGCCTTTGGAGCTTAGAAGTGAGGACGGAAAAAGGTGATGTGCCTGAGGGGAAGGGGCGGGGGAAGGGGAAGGCCTGGGCATGCTGCCTGGAGGGAGAGCCAAACCTCCTAGTTCTTAGACTCTTTTTAAGTGAAAATTACCTGTCATTCTCCCTTTTATCAGTTTGATTGTACTGTGCCCTTTTCTACTTTATAACAGGCATTTCTAGATTGTCATTTTTAATGTTATAAAGTGAAGGGAGAAATTGTTTCTTAGAGAGTGTGAATTCTAACAGTTAATTGTCTGAATTTTGAAAGAGGTACTAATGCTCCTGGATTAAAGGACACATTTCAAGTCATTCCCTGCACTTGCCTGTTTCTCTGGCTCCCATGCCCCAGGTGTTATTTGACAGCCAGGAAACAGGCGTGTACCTTTCCCTCATTTATTACTACAACAGTCGGTACTCTTTGGGCTTGTCATTTCCATTTATTATAAAATAATTTATGCCTTTTTCTTCCAGATTCTAGAGTGGAACCTCCCATGGTGTTTTTTGCCTTTTCTCCAAATTTAAACAAATATTTCTTTCAGAAGGAACAGCAAATTGAGGCCAATCATGAAAGGCAAAAATGTCTAGATATTATATTTAAATATTTTCCTTGTACAGAATTCAGTAGTACTCATAAAAATTAAAATAAACCTATAATTTTACACTTAGAAATAGGCAGCTGTAAATCTGGTTCCTGCACCTAAAAACAGTGCTTAGGTAATTTTGTTTGTTTTTTTCCAGGAGGAGGCAAGAATAAAATCTTAAATCAGTTCATAGAATGCATGTGTGATCCCATTGCCCCTGCTAGATTTTTTTAAAAATTAAGGTGATGGTCTCTTTTTTGGTTTTCTTTTTGGTTCCTAGAATTTTAATATCCCAGAAAGCTTGAATGAATATGTAACCTCAAACATGAGTCACAATGGTCTAGACCTGCATAGTGTATATCGAAGCATTCCTGTTTCTAAAATTTTAAAATGTTACGGAATCATTGTTATTGAATTGAACTCTAGAAGCAGAGAGCTGTCCAGACTTTCCCCATTGGGGTCCAGGATTTCTAACCAGAGGTCCAAGAGGTTCCCAGATAGCATTCAGGGCAAACTTGGATTGGACAAAAATTACATCTTTATTTCACAAACCTCTAGCTGAAATTCAGCAGTTATTAATGATGAGTATAACAAACAAACCACAGTAAAATTAGCACTACCTGCAATTTTGTGAGTTTTTTGTATTACATTAAAAATATTGAAGACTTCAAAACATTATTTTTATCACTATAAGAATACTGTGGTTTATCCTCCACTAGATCTTATTATTTGATACATTAATTAAGAAACACATATATTGCCCAGCCTGTGTGGCTCAGTAGTTGAGCATTGTCCCATGCACCAAGAGGTCTCCAGTTTTGTTCCTGGTCAGGGCACATGCCCAGGTTTCCGGCTCAATCCCCAGTGGGTTGCGTGCAGGAGGCAGCCAATTGATATTTCTCTCTCCCTCTCCCTTCCTCTCTCTCCAAAATCAATTTAAAAATTTTTAAAAAGGAGCACGTGTATTACTATATTACAAATTTGTATTTTAGTAGTTGTGTTACCTGTATTTCAATACAGTTGGTTTCCTTTGTAATCCAGTTCAGTTTTAGGGGCCTCTCTGCTAATCCTCTCTCCTACCGCAGGGCCTTTGCACTGCCTGTTTGCTCTGACTGGAAAGCTTTCCCTCCAAATAGCCACATGGCTTATGCGCTCACTTCCTATAATTCTGCTGAGATACCTTTTCAATGAGGTGTGCCCTATTCACCCTGTTTTAATTCTTTCATCCCAGCATTCCTCCTCCTCTTCCTGGCTTTAGTATGTTCAGTAACAATTACCGCCTACTGACATACTATAAAATTTACTTTGTGTGTGCGTGTAAGGTCCATGAAGGCAGGAATTGTCTGTTGTGTTCGTCGCTGTATCCCCAGAGCCTGGAGCAGTCCCTGGCTTATAACAAGCACTAAAATGTGTGCTAAATCAAAGGAGTGCTTGCTCAGTGCTAAGCCCTGGGTTACCATAAAGATCATCTTATCCAGGTTCCCAAGGGCTAGGAAGACAGTGCTTCAACTAAGTGAAGTGCCAAGGGAGGAAAAAGAGCAAGGATGTCAGAAGGAAGTGGAGTTTTTAGATCTGCCTTTTGAGGCCAGAGCTGGGTCTTTTAAAATAGCAAGAGATGTAACCTTATAAAGGGTAGAACGTGTTTCCTCTAGAGGGAAATCAGGCAAGCCTAACAAGAAATAGAATGTACAAAATGCAGGAATAAGTCTTCCTGTGAGTCAAAAACATGGTGGCATAAGTAGGGAACAGCGAGATGTGGCTTAGCAGCTTATACCAGGCATACTTGAGTGATGTTGGCTTTAGTCTAGGTAGGAGTTGGTAAGTGTAATGTAGCCCAGGAAAGTAGGTTCAGGCCAGTCTGAGTTGCACAAATAGTAGCGCAGCAGTGTGATTCTAACTTCAGTCATCAGGGCTGAGTCTGAGCAAATGCCGCCACTCACTGTGAAGGGTAAGTAACTTAACCTCCCTGAGCCTTAGGTTTCTCATCTGCCACGTAAACTTTGCAGGATTGTTGTGAAGATGAAATAATCTTAACTAGACTGTTCTCTATCTAGTTACCAGAGGGATTTTTTTTTTTTTTTTTTAACTTGAAAAGTGAAATGAATGAGGAGTGCTCTTTTTTCTTATTGTGGTAAAATGTACATAACATTTACCATTTTAACCCTTTTTGGGTGTATCGCCAGTGGCTTTAAATACATCCACATTTCTGTGCAACCATCACCATTACCAGTTTCCAGAACTTTTCTATCAGCCAGAGGGATTCTTAAGGCATAAATTATTACTCAGGTCACTCTACTCAAATGGCTCCCCTTCACACTTAACAAAAGTCACTGTCCTTGCAAGACCCTGTGGCCTGTGCGCCCTCCTCCTCACCATCTAGCCCTCTCCACACAGGTGTCCTTCATTGCTCCTCAGGGCCTTGGTGCTTGTCATTTCCTCTGCCTAGAAAGTTCTTCCCCCTCTAATTCACAAGGGTTACTCATTCTAGCCAAATGTCACTTTGAGAGAGGCCATCCTTGGCCACCTGACCAGAATGACCTCCCCTCTGCACCCTTTCTGCCCCTCACCCAGCATTACCTGCACGTCCACAGGTTCATTTGTGGACTTACCACTGAAAGATAAACTTCACTGAGGCAGGGGCCTGGTCTGATGGCTCCCTGCTGGGTCCCCACCTCCAGCAATGGTGCCTGGCATGATTTAAGTGCTCAGGAAATATTTGTGAAAAAATGAAGTAGGTAAAAGGGCTGGTCAAGAAGCTGCTCTTTGGGAGCAGGCCCCTCCCCTTCTGTGGAAGCCTACAGAGCTCTGCTTCTGTCACTCAGACCAGATCTGGGCCCACTTCTAGGAAGTGTGTCTTTTATTTTTTTAAGTTGATTTTTAGAGAGAAAGAGGAAGGGAGATAAACATCGATTTGTCCCACTTATTTATGCATTCATTGGTTGCTTCTTGTGTGTGCCCTGACCAGAGATTGAACCTGCAACCTTGATGTATCAGGACAATGCTCTAACCAACTGAGCTACCCAGCCAGGCCTAGGAAGTGTGTCTTAAGGAAAACACTGGAAGGCAGCCAAAGGCCAGAGGCTTTGGGGGTTGAGGGGGTTGTGGAATTAACACTGATGCATGAACTTTTAAAGAAACTAAGCTCTTGAGCCTGGAGAAGATCAGAATTAGGAATGGGATGGCTCAGAGAGGGCAGATCCAGTGATAGGCTCTGTAACAGTAGTTGGGAGAATTAAGTGGGTTACTGTGGAATGATCAGATTAGATCAGTGCTAGTCAGACTGGGTTGTGGGCATGGTCTGGGGGCGCTGTGAGTTCTGATACAAGAATATTCTGGATCATCTGGAAGAGGAGTCCCTGAGTTTATATTTAATCTTCCTGACTCCAGGTAGTCTTACTTTGTCACAGTCTAATGAGACAAGAGGGAGGGGGGCTTACTATGTACATGATTCACTGAAGACCAGGGAAGGCCAAATGACCTCCAGGCACCTTGCAAAGTCAATGATTCTGAATTGGTTTGAATAGAGAAATATAGTAAGTGGATCTTGAAAGAGCCTGTGTTAGGCACTTGTGCCATTTTAGGTGATTTTGTTTCAGCAAACCAACATCATCTTACACACCAAATTGTTAATTGCAATTTTGATGGGTTTTGTGGTTTTATTTGTATTTCATTTGTAACTGTTGACTGCAAAATAGGTGGTGTAGTTGTATGAGAGCTGTCACAGGCAGGAGTTGATACCTAGTTTTATGAGTCAGTATTTGTCATCTAAGTAATTTAGGTCAACACAATTTAGAAAAACACTGAATCAGAAGACCTCTAAGGTTTCTTATAGCCCTGAGCACCCGCAATTGTGCAAATCTTGTGTAACAGTTGTATGGCTATTGCAGCAATACTGCTCGTTATTTAGAAATCTTTCACAGATTTGGCTTTTGTTAGCACACCCGAGGATCTCTCTGCCAGGACCTGGGACCCCCCTATTTTGGAACTTGAGCCCAATCCACTTACCCAGAGATAAAAGAGATTGCTAACTGAACCTCAGTCTAAGTTTCACAGGGTCAGTCGTATTCTTGTTAACCTCGAGAGGCCTCTTTTTCCTATGAGTTAACCAGTCCCATCATTTGAAAGGAAGTTTTTGAAATCTGAACACCTGTAGGATTCAGGTTGTATGAAAAAGAGAAGACTTCGGGGATGGGGAAAGGGGCGGGCACTAAAGCACAGTGTTCCTGCATGAGAAGGAGGCTCTGTCCTGACTGCCTGACTTGCTCTCTCTGCAGGTACTTCTCTCACTTCTACATCATCTCAGTGCTGTGGAATGGCTTCCTGCTTTGGTGCCTTACTCAATCTCTGTTCCTGGGAGTGCCTTTTCCAAACTGGCTGTACACTTTACTCCGAATTCTTGGGGCCACTCAGTTCCGAGGTAATCACACCATTGCGTCCTGTTCCTGCCTTTCCTGCCAGCAGGAAGCTGTTCTTGGTATTTCGTAGCTACTGTCAGGCTCCTCCTCAGCGGGTGAGAGCAAAAAGAGTTCTGTGTGGTTCGTAGCCATCTCCCCGAGGGGGTTCCCCCAAGTCCTCCATTGAGATCTTGGCAGAGCTGAGAGTTAGCTCTTCGGCCCTACTTCCCAGCAAGTGCTGGGCCGTGGACGGGACTGGCTGTTCTCTCTCTGATATTTTTCATACTGTTGATAAATTTATACAGAAGTCTTGAGACTTAGGGGAAAAGCTTTTAGGATTCCTTCATGTTTGCCTTGAAACATTTATCATTCATACAGTCCAACCAAAATCATGTCTCAGAACTCCAGGAATGTGATAGAAAATTACTTGTTGATCACTGGTTAAAAATGTCATGCCATAAGGCTTTGATTTCATGATACAGTTGACTGTAAACAGTCATTGACCAGATGGTTACAAAACAGACATTAAATTTGCCCCAGATAAAGAACAATTTTAAAATAAGGAATTGAAGGTGAAAACAAAGCGGCCTCAGTTAGTGCCAGGCAGCGGGTGAGGGGCAGAATTAGAAACAAACTATTCTGGTGCTATCTCTGTACCAGCAGCCAAACCACTGGCTCCCTGGGAACAGTCCTTCTCTGTGCAACCAGAGGATGACAGTCAGAAGGGAAAACATATGCAGATCCTATGGGAGGGAAGGATACCTCACGGAATCCTACTTCACGCATTCAAACTTCATTTCTTCACTTGTTTTGTTTTGCTTTTCTGATAATTTCTTTAAAGCACTTTAAATTTTATTTTTAATTACAGTTTACATTCAGTATGATTTTGTATTAGTTTTAGGTATACAGCATAGTAGTTAGACAATCATATACTTTACAAAGTGATTCCTCCCGATACTTCCAGTACCCACCTGACACGGTACATAGTTATTATATTATTATTGACTATATTCCCTGTGCTGTACTTTACATCCCTGTGACTATTCTGTAACTACTAATTGGTACTTTTAAAAATTTGACTTTTAGAGAGAGAGGAAGGGAGATGGAGAGAGAGAGAGAAGCATCGATCGGCTGCCTCCTGCACGCCCCCTACTGGGGATCGAGCCCACGACCCTGGCATGTGCCCTGACTGGGAATCAAACCAGCAACCTTTCAGTGCACGGACGATGCCCAACCAGCTGCCACATCAGCCAGGGCCAATCTGTGCTTCTTAGTCCTTTCACCTTTTTCACCCAGTCCCCCAAGGCCCCTCCCCTCTCGCACCCACCAGTCTGTTCTCTGTGTCTGTGAGTCTGTTTCAGTTTTGTCCAAGTATTTTCTTCTTCAGATCCCACATGTAAGTGGAATCATATGGTACTTGAATCTTTCATCTCTTCATTTGTTTTTATGGGGATGGCTGGGGTCTGATATTTGGAGGGTTGGTTGTTAGGAATTTTATTCATTTGTTTTAACCTATTCCTAAAGAGTTTAAACTAGATTTTACTATATTTAAAATACAAAACAGGCAAAGCTAATCTAAGCTGATAGAAGTGAGGACATGAGTTACCTTTGGGAGGGAGGCAGGAGGGGCAGTACCTAGAAAGGAACACAAGGGGTGCTGGTCATGTTCTGTTTCTGGATCCTGGTACTGGTTATATGGGTGGGATGCGTTGGTTTAGTTTATAACAACTCATTAAATTGTATTCATACTGTATCCTTGGGAGGGGCAGGGTGTGATATTCACTTAAGAAAAAAATCTAGGTTTTATATCATTTTAAAAACCATTATTTCTTCTGACTTCTTTTGGGATAGAGGGATGAGAGGCTGGTAGGAATATAGGTCTCAGGGATCACAGACCCCTAAAAGTATAATTTTTTTTTTAATATGAAAAGGAATGCATAATTCTCCCTGTCTCAGTTCCTGTCCCCCTTCAGCCTCTTTGGGTACCTGTGTCTCTTCTCTCCCCCCAACCCCAGGGATCCCACCAGGTGGGGTTGCTCAGAGGTCACCCAGGAACTCTTCCTGACCATCTTCATTATTATTAGTGCCAGGGACCAGAGACCCACAGACCCTGGTTTCTGAGTGCACAGACAGCCCTGCACAGTGAGGTCCACCCCATCTGGAAGGCTCTCACAGGGCAAAGCAGAGTCAAGAGACCTGAGTTTGTCCCAGCTCTATCACCAGCTTACTGTGTAACCTTGGGCCACATGGTTTCACTTCACTTGGCCCACTTCCCTACTGCTGAAAAAAAGAAAGGTGTTAGACTGGATGGTTTTTAGAGCCCCTTCCTCTCTCTAGTTTTGTTTAAAACTATGTGTAACAGTAGGAAAAACGTAACGGATTATTCCCAAAGGAAAAATGCTGAAGGTGTTGCTTTCTGAATTGTAGGGGGTGAGCTGGCGCTGTCGGCTTTCTTAGTTCTAGCATCTGTGTGGCTCCACAGCTGGCGGAGGCTCTTCGAGTGCCTCTACGTGAGCGTCTTTTCCGATGCCACCATTCACACCGTGCAGTACTGCTTTGGACTGGTCTACTATGTCCTCCTCGGCCTAACTGTGCTAGCCCAGGTGCCGATGGACGGCAGCAATGGTGAGTGGTCCCTGGGGACTGTGCCCTGAGTTGCTGGGGGCATGAGGTACTCCTCAGGCACCAAGCACTATGGAAGTTTGAGAGCAGGAGACCTGCCCAATTTGTAATGTCTTCGGTAAAGTGCAAGGTATTCGGGAGGGTCGGTTTAACGATGAACTGGGAGGTGAGCTTTCCCTCAGTGGGAGTGAAGGCAATGAACTCACGTGGATAAGTCTGGAGAGAGAGAGGGAATATGGTCCAGAGATGAACAGGAAGCAGGGGCCACCCAAGCTCAAAGGTCAGCGAGGACAGCTGCTTCACGGAGCCTCGGTCATCCTGTGTGTGTGGAAGGGGAGGGGTGAGGCTGGGGAAGGGGAAGTGTGGTGCAGGACTTAATCGTAGGAAACCAGAGGAGGAGCGGGTGGCCTGACTCCGGGTGGATAGCTGTGATCTGAAGAGGGAGGAGGGAGCCATTTGGTGCCGTTTAGGTCTTATAATTGTTCCATTACACAAAGCTTATCTGTAAGCGAGGCTGCCAAGGGGAGGGGACAGAAGAGTACTGTGGTAAGTCAGAATTGTGTCTTAACATTTCTGAGCTCTCACTAACCGGGAAGAGGGAACCAAGATCATGACTTTTTTTTATGAGGAGGAAATGAAGGGGGGATTGAAGGGGGACAGTGACTATCTAACATGTATGACCACCATTTTTGTAAAAACAATATATGCTTGCTATAAAGAATCAAGTTATTTGGGGTGATTAAAATGAATTTTTAGTGCCAAAGTTAACTTGACCTTGCAGCCCAGACACTATAGAGCAGATCTTGCGAGACTGTCGTCGCTCAGTCCAAGGCTTCATACATTTATCCTCATAAACCGAGACCAAGATCTAGATATTTTCAGTCCTCAGTGAGTGAGCTTTCTCCTCGGGTTTGCTTTCAGTATCAGCGTGCCCCTCTCTCTTGCAGGAATACAACCCAAGGCCTCTATGGCTTGGGAGATGATTTTCAAGTACATCTTACTGATGATATTTCTCAATTCATGAATTATTTATTGGCTCCAGCCACTCAGCTAGCATCTCTCCATCTAAGTCCTCTGAACTTAAGTCCATTCTTCCTCCCTGAGCTTTTTGCTGTGGCACTCATGTGCAGCCCGATATCACGGTGTGAGCTGTCACTCCTGGTGAACAGTATGGGTTTTCCACCCCAAGGAACTTGCCTAAGCACTTTGGTAACTCACCAGCTTTCAGTCTCTCGGTTCCCATTAACATTACGTGTGTCCTCTGGAGTTTTCTTTGCTGGCTGGGCCCCACCTTCTGCCCTCCTTCCTGTGTAGCTAGTGAAGGAAAGGCAGCTGTGGCACCCACAAAAAGAGCTTTCCTAACACTCCTTTCTGAAGCTGTCTTTTGTTTCACCTATTTGCCCTTCAAGAGGTCATCTGTGATCATATGGGACAATATAGGGAGAGCTGGTCCCAGGAGTTCATTGAGAGCTGTAGCGTCTGATAGAAATGGGCTTGGGGTCAGATAGAGCCTGGGTCTGAATCTGGCTTATTCAACCTCTCTGAGCCTCAGACCCTTCATCTGTAATCAGGGATATATACTCATTTCAGAGTGTTCTTGTGAAAGTGAAAAGAAAGAATATCTGTAAACTACCCAGATCTTCACATCTCCTTGTCTTCAAGTCCAAAGAGTCTCCCCCAGTCACTCTCCACCACACTGTTCTAGTTTCTTTTCTTCAGGGTGCCATCTGTGCCTGGAATTATCGGGCTATCGATTTGTTTACTCAGTTCTAGTGGCAGCTGCCACTGGAAAGGGAGCTCATGAAGATGGGGATCTTGCCTGATGCAGTCACTGCTTTATGCCTCATGCCTGCAACAGTGCACCAGGCTCAGTCAACACCCATTCAGTAACTAGTGAATAAATGAATAATAAAATACTACACAGATTAGACTCAGTAAATGAGCCTTCCACCTGCTTCCCCGTTTCTGCATGCTAATTCTGACTTTTAAAGACCTTTTTCCCCTCATTTTCTGCATTTAGAGCAGGTGACTGGGTAGAGATGTGAACTCCCAGACACTGGCTTCAACTTCTAATCCTCCAGTGACTTGTTCTTAAAGCCCTTTTGATTAAAAGCTGAATTTCTCATATTTCACTTCTTATTAACTTATAAAAAATAACTTTTTAGTTAAATGGCTAAGCCTAGTAAATGTTAAGGGACTCTAGGTAGATTGTTTATACAAAGCAAGTTTTGAAAAGAAATTAACACAGGTAGACTTTGGTGGACTCTCATTAGTCATTAGCTGTCATTGCTGAGTCCTACTGCCAGTCCCTGTATGGAACAGCGTGATCCTTGCTTCTCTTACCTGAGTCAACTTTGTAGGGGCTCCCTCTTGGCTCCAGAGCCAGCTAGTTCCTGTTGTCAATGGACAGCTTTGTTTCTTGAGCCAAGTCCCTGACTAGCCTGACTGCTTCTGCTGGTCATAGGGACATCCGTACTTTCCTGATGCCAGTTCTTGTAAGACCCACATCCTTCTTTCAGATAGCTGGGAAAGAAAGAGGAAGATAATACTTTGAGTATTTCTTTTCCTAAAACTAAGTCTCTCTGACTCGGTTCTGTCTAATTAGAAAGGGATACTGTTTTGTTTTTCATCTTGGAGTTTACATTTCTCCTCTTTTTGAGAAGCCCCACCCTTAGCCTTCACTTACAGTGGTTTTCTTCATTGGCTGGAGCCCATCAAGTCAGCATTCTGCCTTCAGGGTCTCCCTCACAATGGCTTAGGTTAGTAGCTCAGGGAGAGGTTTCAGAAAGTGTTTTCCTGACAGTAGAATATAAGAAAGAAGGCATATATCCAGGTTTAGAAATAGAAGCACAGAGTCGTGTCACCACACAAGAGTACATCCCAAGAGTAGGACACAGAGCTGAACTCTGTGCTTAAAGCATTTGGAGGAAAAAGAGAATGTATTACATACGGAATGTATTAGAGAATCTCTGCCAAGGGCACTGCAGCTGCCTCTGGCTGAGCAGCAATTCTCCTTTGGTGTTCTTCCTCCTGTACTTGGGAAGTTCTGTCAGCATAATTTTATAGTCGTGAGGAACAGTAAGTGGATGATTGTGTTCTGCTGACTGTGCTCCTTGAGCCTCTGAAAATTTGCAGCATTGGCTAATAAGATAATTCTTTGTTCTTTAGTCTACGTGGTAGGGAAAAATCTCTTGATGCAAACTCGGTGGTTCCATATCCTCGGAATGATGATGTTCATCTGGTCATCGGTCCATCAGTATAAGTGCCACGTCATTCTTGGCAATCTCAGGAAAAATAAAGCAGGTAAGCTGTCTTTCGAGGCACTGCATGTGGATTTTAACACTCAGAAGTTAGTTGTCCATGTTCTTCCATTCCTTTCCTTCCTGCCCTAATTAGTTGACTGATGTATCAAATACTCATTTTTGGTAAGACACCTGTGGGTCTTGATCTTCCCACCTGTAAAATGAGCGCATTATACTGAAAGATCTCTCTGGCCCTACTAGTCCTGATATTTATGATTCTATTCTGTGCCCACAATTTGGAGCCTACACTGCATATATGTGTCTGACCAGTATGTGAGCACTAGTATGAGCATGCTGAATTAGTATCATTCCAGCCAGAGCAAAAAACTTGACTTCTTGGTTAGCTCGTGTTGACTTATCAGAGGTACAGTTTTTATCAGGCTTTTTGAAATACTAAAAATAGAATAGTATTATTCAGTGTTTACTGAGTGCTTATTTTGTGCCTGACCCTATTCTGAGTGCTTTACGTAGAGGTTCACAATACTCACTTGAGGTGGGTACAGTATGCACAGCACTCCTTTCAACCAATACTTGGTCAAAGAACGGAAGAAACTTTCTGCATGCCTGTCCTGCCATGACTCCGGCTGCAGCATTTCATACTCTACTCTTGGGCAAGGCCTCCCACCCCACCACCCACCGAAAGAGACATCTGTAGTCTGGCCCCCCTTGGACATGTGAACTTGGGTAAAGGCCATGCAGGCACTCTCCCCAGCCACCTGCCCCCGGGGGGAGGGAGGGGCTCTGCACAGGCCACTGGCAGAGGACTTGCAGGCAGAAGAGAAGAGGAGCTCTCTCTTGGCTTTTTGGAGTTTGAGCTCTTAATTTCTAGCTTGGAGGATTGCTGGTGTAACAGGGTTTCCTCTTGTGCTTATTTACAGTTGATAGTGTAACCTAAGCATGTGGTTTTTTAAATATGTAGTATATTGACAATGGAAGTGTGACAGGATGGTGGTGTACACACAGGTCTGTCATACTGTTTTCCAAATAAGAGTTTTTGTAAATGGTTTGGGGGGTGATATGGTAAAACTCTCTTTTCACAGCTTCAGATGTTCAGGAAGTTTCCTTTTTTCACTTCAGGAGTGGTTATTCACTGCAACCACCGAATCCCTTTTGGAGACTGGTTTGAATATGTTTCCTCCCCTAACTACTTGGCAGAGCTGATGATCTACATCTCCATGGCTGTCACCTTAGGATTCCATAACGTGACCTGGTGGCTAGTGGTAACATACGTCTTCTTTAGCCAGGCCCTGTCTGCTTTCTTCAGCCACAAGTTTTACAAAAGCAAATTTTCATCCTACCCGAAGCATAGGAAAGCTTTTCTACCGTTTCTGTTCTAAGACAACCTCAGTCACGAAGAATGCCGACCAGGTGACAGGTCCAATTCTCAGGACAAGGACGTCTAGAGACCAAAGTGCAGGTTCTGCAGAACTGTTAGAAACTCTCTATATTTATACCCAAAGTCTTCACTGAATAGGCCAGATGATACCCCTCAAGAAAATGAAACTTCAAAGAACTACTTCTGGCAGAACAGGGAGTGCTGTGTCTGCTTTCTGAGATGCTTTGTAAAACCAACCACCTGCTAAAAACTGGATGCGACTTCTCTAAGCTGCTTCAAAGCAAAGTAACCCAGAATATGCACATAGCTCCAAACACATACATACACAGAGGAAGAGATTAGATCATCTGTGGCTTTTGTGAGGGACAAATTAACTGGATATCATAATAAGCAATATAGTAGATGCTCAGTAATTGCTTGTTGCATTTCAATAAAAGCAGAATAGCTTTTGAAAATAACTATATAATTTCACACCAAAAGATTCAGGGAATAACGAGTTTGTTGGAGTTAATTTATACTTTCACATTTGCCACAAAGTTTCTAGTTATGGAACCATCACTAGTCATTTCCACTCATCTCTCCCTCAAATCATAACCCAAGGGGAAGTTTGAAACCTCTTTTATGTAATACTTTTTGACATCCCTTTCGAGGAGTACCTTAAAACTGAAAGCGTCTGAAAGTGAAATATTTTTGTATTCATGCGTCAGAAGCTCTATGAATAGAACTGACTTACACTCTGGATTAAGATGGTACTGTAGCCTCATTCATATGTAATTATTCAAATTGGATTAATGTCTGCCTGCATTCATTTTAATTAATAGAATGAATCTGAAGCTACTGTGGAATAAAGTTTACACTTAAAATAGCTTATGTAAAAATGCCTATGGTTAAATCAAAGGGAAATAAAGAAAAACATAAACTTGAAAAATGATGCTACAGCCTGAGCAATGCAGCAAAAACTTCATTCGTACGCCATAAGATTTACCGACTTATTGACTGAGGTGTTAACTTTATTCCTTATGTAGATGTAATACTATATAGTCTACTAGGTACTAAACTTTTGCACTAATATATATACCTTACTATGGAGGAAAGAACCTAATTAGTAATCAGGTAAATATCAAACACTCTACATACATATACCCTCCCCTCCCTCACCCCTGAAGTACTAAACCAAAGCTGTTAAACTGAGATTCTTTTTACTCTAAATTTTAATATGTGCATGTCAGAGCATGTTCTAAAGTCTTAAAATAATTCTGCTGCAGCATTTCCCTCCCATCAAATACCACTTCAATCAGTTGCTCAGTCTATTCGAATAAATGACGTATTTATTTCATTTATCATTTAGATTTGCCATCTTCAAGACCGGGACTCAGGAACCAAACTTTCTACATTGGAAATGTAAAGCATATTATAGTTTGGGCTTAATTTCCACACAAATGGCATGAATAGTTTTTAATAGCAAATTGTTTTGCGGGGGGAATGTATTTTGCTGTAGCACCCATTTTACACTAGATCAGACTAGGAATCTGGCCAACATCCTGGAATTTCATTGTACTTTTAGCTAAAGTAATGAGCATCCCTGTGAAAAACCGTTATCAGGGACTTGAGAAAGTGTGCCCCGTCCCTGCTGTCCTTGCTGACACTCTTCCATGCCCCTTACTTTGCTTTTCCCTTTCTAGCCCAAACATGGCATTTCTATGTGAAGATAAAAGAGGAAGTTATGATGCCCTCAGAGGGGTTCAGAACAAAGTAGCGTGGTCTTTGATGAAGCTTAGCCCTGAGAATAACTGAGAATGGTGCTGCGCTTGCAGGATCACAGTCAGCACTGCTCTTTGTGTCCATGAAAATTTCCCGTGCCTAAAGGGAGAAAGTACCATAGAGAGTCGGCAAATTCATCACACAACTAATCCAGAAATCACTTAGGGATGGAGACTCTTGATTTTCCCAAGAGCTTAGTTAAATAACCTCATTTCATTCTCCGTTACTATTAAATTAGGGGAAAATGATACTGAACTACCTCATAACAGCATTCCCTGGGTTAACTATAAAAAGCTGCAGAAAATAGCCCTTGATAGGGCTCCAAGTGGTAGCTCATCCCTTTGTTAACACTTTCTTTCAGCAGGCATGGGTGGTTGTCTCCACAAGACTGTTCTGTATTTCGTTTTTAATTCAATGGGTGGTTATTGCTAGAATTCACACAAAGATAAAACAGCCTTTGCAGATATTTTATATGAGGCTTAATAGATAGTTGAAGGACACTATAAACATTTGCATAACTAAAGTACCTGAAAACTCAAGGACCATTGATAAGTAATGTAGCTCTAAATGGACTGATATATTAGAGAACTTCTCATAGTAAATGAGCAAGTAGAAATTTTTTATCACAGTCAGCACTGCAAGCAATTTCTGTCCACTCTTTCACATTGCTTATCAAAAAACCATTAAACTGGAGATGGCAGTGATCCATAAATAATTCATGTGATGCATACTTCATCATTTTTGTCAAATACCAATGATCTCCTAGAAAGACATGTATTGGTTTAGGGGAAATCAAAATTTAATTATCCAAATAAAAACTGCTATAAGGAGCTACTCTATGCACTTAATTGATAAAGTATAATATTGGGTCTCTTCCTTCAAAAAGACTGAAAACTTAAAGCACAAAAGGACACAAGGGATTTCTCAGTGGAAAGACAAATATACCTGCTGAGTCCAGCCCTCTTACAGCACATGCAGTTTTTATCAGGGCTCCCTGGCCTCCATAGCACCTTTCTGTGAATTAGAAAAGACGTCACTCTAGGAACATCCTCCCAATAGCAGGGCAGGAACCACTGTGGGCACAAATGGCAGCTGGTGACGGGGCTGCAGCTCAATGAGCAGAGCTCAGGCTGCATCTGAACCCCACTCACCCCTTCAGTCTGGTGTCTTCTGAAGTGTACAGACTGCACAACCTTCCATCGAGACCCTCTTAGCATGCTGTCTGTCTGAAGAATCTGTTCACTCTTGAAGAGAACAAGACTTGATTTTATGGAGCCATCTCATTGAGAAGGACCATAAGAATGAAACTAGGAGAAGGGGGTATTAAGCACTCCGTGCAAAACCTCTGTGCTTCTACACACAGAAAGAGGAGTTTGGTGGTTAGCAGGCAAGTGACTCTCAAACAATAGAATGTCTGTTACGATGCTAGAATGCTGGCCCCAAATAGAGACAGTATTTTGCTTCCTTTCTGTCTACCAGCTCCTGTTTCCAGCTTATCAGTCTGGTACTGCAACCCTGACAATCTTTCCATCCCTCTGGGACTTCCAACCTATTGATCTCATGGCATTTTTTTTCATCTTCACTCGAGGATATTTTTCCATTGATTTTAGATAGAGTGGAAGGGAGGGAGAGAGGGGGAGAGAGACAGAAAGAAACATCGATGTGAGAGAGACATCCATTGGTTGCCCCCTGAACAAGCCCCCACTGGGGCCAGGAATGGACCGTGCAACACAGGTACGTGCCCTTGACCAGGGATTGAACCTGAGACCCTGCAGTGAGCAGGCTGACGCTCTAACCAATTAGCATACCGCCAGGGCCGCATGGTATTTTTATTGCCCTAGTGTCCTAAGTCTTATCTCCTTACCCTGCTTAAATTCCAGGTAAATCACTATAATCATTCCTTTGCGTATACTCTCAACTCTATCGCCTCCCTTCATTGCTTTTGTCCTGATTCAGCAAAGCCACAACCCTGGTGAATTCAACTCTCCCTCCTTTGTGTGTGCACTGAACTGTGGCCGGAGAAATACAGCCCGCTGACAGCCCACTTCAAATTCATGATCACTGACCACAAGTGGTCTTAAATACTAAAATCCCCTGGTCCATTCACTCTCCCACTCTGCTATATTACATGATGTCCTGTCCTCAAGCAAATGAAGCTCTTGGTTACCACCACCACCTCCACCCGCCTAAGCACCTGTGCCATAAACACTACCTTCCCTCCTATTATTGGTGAAGGATACTTTTTTAAAATGTATTGGAGTAACACTGGATAATAACATCATACAAGTTTCAGGAGTACAGTTCGTCACGTGACATCTGTACACTGTCGTGTGCTCGCCACCTGAGTCTAGTCTCCCATTCCCATGTACTTGACCCCTTTGCCCTCTTCACCCTTCCCTCGCCCTCTTGCCCCTCTGTTATCCACATTCTGTTGTCTATATCTGTGAGTTTGGTTTTTTATTTGTTTGTTGCTTTCTGTTTTATATCTCACAAGTGAGATATTACATTTCTTGTCCTTTTCTGAGTTATTTCACTTAATATAGTACTCTCAAGATCCATCCACGTTGTCACAATTGGCAATATTTCATCTTTTTATGGCTGAGTAGTACTCCATAGTATGTATGTACCCCGTCTTCCTTAATCATCTGTTGAAGGACACTCAAGTTATTGTCGTGTCTTGACTACTATAAATAATACTGCAGTGAGTATAGGGGTACACATATCTTTACAAATAAGTGTTTTCATAAATTTTGGGGTAAGACCCAGAAGAGGAATTGCTGGGTCATATGGTAGCATCTAAGTTCATAAGAGATATTGGCCTGTAATTCTCTTTGTGCGTTGTCCTTGCCTGGTTTTGGTATCAGGGTAATGTTGGCCTCATAAAATGAGTTAGGAAGTAGTCTGTCTTCTTCAGTTTTTTGGAAGAGGTTGAGAAGGACTGGAATTAAGTCATCTTTGAATGTTTGGTGGAATCTGTCACTGAAACCATTTGGTCTTGGACTTTGGTGTTTTGGGAGGTTTTGATTAGTGTTTCAGTTTCCTTACTAGTGATCAGTCTAACTAGGTTTTCTACTTCTTCATGGTTCAGACTAGGAAACTCACATACTTCTAAGAATTTGTCCAGTTCTCCTAAGTTGTCAAGTTTGGTGGTGTATTAGCCTTTCATAGAATTCATATACAATCCTTTGTATTTCTGTGGTGTCCATTATAACTCCTCCTTCATTCCTGATTTTATTTGAGTTTTCTCTTTTTTCCTTAGTGAGTCTAGCCAGGGGTCTGTCAATTTTGTTTATCTTTTCAAAGAACCAGCTCTTTGTTTAATTTTTCTATTATCTTTTTGTTTTCTATTTCACTTACTTCCACTCTGAGTTTTATTATTTCCTTCCACTGGCTTTGGGCTTTGTTCTTTAATGTGTAATGTTATATTGTTTACTTGACATTCTTCTTGTTTCTTGAGGTAGGCTTTTAAGGCTATAAATGTCCCCCTTAGTACCACTTTTGCTGCATCCAAAAATTTTGGTATATTGTGTTCTCATTTTCATTTGTCTTTAAGTATACTCTTACCTCTTTTATTTCTTCTTTGACCCAATACTTGTTCAGTAGTCTGTTGCTTAATATCCACATATTTGTGGGTTTTCCAGCTTTCTTCTTGCAGTTAATTTCTAGTTTCATACCATTGTGGTAAAAAAATAATAATAATGCTTGGTATGATTTTATTCTTAAATTTATTGAGAATAGTTTTATGCCCCAACATATGGTCTGTCCTTGAAAATGCTCCATGTGCACTTGAGAAGAATGTGTATTCTGTCATTTGGGAATCAAACTGGCAAACATTTGGTGCACAAGACAGTGCTCAACCAACTGAGCCACACTGGCCTGGGCTCTCTTCTCCTTTTGGTATACCCCTCATCCTTATGTTGCTGCTTCTAATAGATTCAGATAGCTCTTGGTAGAGTTCTTTCCTTTTTTTTTTCTTAACTCTCTTCTTCCTCCTGGGTAATTTCTAGGTTTCTTTCTTAGAGCTCACTAGTTCTTTCTTCATTTGGTCTGCTCTATTTCCAGTATTCTGTAATGCCTTTCTCATTTCATTTAATGAGTTCTTTAGCTCCAGAATTTGTTTCTTTTTTATACTTTCCATCTCTTGGTAAAGTACTCCTTTTGTTGATTAATTCCTGAGCTACCTGAGCTGCCTAAGTTCTCTCATATCTCATTGAGTTTCTTCATAACTGCAATTTTGAATTCTCTGTCTTTTAAATTGCAGTTGTCCAAGACTTTGAGTTTGGTTTCTGGAGACTTTTCACTTCCTTCCTGTGCTCCCAAATTACCTTGGTGGCTCATGGTATTTGGATTGTTTCTCTGCCTGCACATTTGAGGTAGTGAATTCTTTTCTTGCTTAGATACTGTTTTCCTCTCAACAATGCAGTAAGTTGATAGGTAGGGTACATTCTTTTGTTTTCCAGTAGATGGTAATATAGCACAAGTTTTTATTTTTTCTTGCCTACACTATTTGTGCCTTTGGAATCGATAGTGTGGTATGGCTTTCATTAAGGAAAATGCCACGTACCCACTGGGATGGTGGGTGTCCCCTCTGTGACCAGCTCACCTCTGTTACAGGGCACCACTGTGGCAGGTGGTGGACTGGTTTTGCAAGCTCCTAGCATTACCTCCTTTGTTCTAGTGGCTGCTGGTCCCACTGTTTTTGGAGGCTTCTCCACTGCCCTTCTGCTGGGATGGATGGGGCAGGGGAGGCAACTTCATGATTTCTCAGCTCCTCCTCTAAGCCAGCAATAGCTGTTGGCACCTCTGTTCTGTGTAAGGCTTCCCAGCCACCTCTACTGGGTCTGTTGCAATGGAGTGAAGGGTAGGAGATGTATTTTCCAAGAGTAGCACTGATTCTGCCCCACTTACACTCCAGGTTGCAGTGTGAGGGCTGCAGCCAACTTCTCACCATTACTGTGCTTGCTGGAGCCACAGTAGGCTGAACTGCATCTGCAGCCACTGTCCCTGTCCTTCTCCTCCATCTTGCCTCCCCCACTCCTTCCAGTGTGCCCTGTGCCCACCTTCAAATGTCCTGATCTGTGGACCTCTCAGGTGAGTTTGTGTATTAGCAGGGGATCCTTTGCTGAGTTATAGTTGTTTGACTTGTTATAAATTTAAGGGGGGAAAGAAAGGAGTCTTCTCACTCTGCCATGATGCTGACCTCACTCCTACTTTTTTAAAAAAGAATGTAAAATCATGATTCTCATACAAATATAAATGAACAGGTGCCAAAGATTTTATTTAGCTTACTAATAAATGCAGGAACCAGTCAGATGTCAGAACCAATTCAAAGAAGAATCCTAACAGCAGACACATATATGGGCAATGAGGCATGCCAAATGAATTCGCTCAATAGATACAAAACTGGTTTCTATAGCAGGGGAAGGAAATCAGTTGTCCCTCCATTAGAAAAAATGTATTTGCATACTTATGGGAAAGCACTGTTTGCATTCCTATCAATTATCTACAACTTACAGAGCTGTGTGATAGTTCAAAGGCAAGATGCAGATAACCCGAAGAATGTGCTAGACAGAACACCAGTAATATTATTTGCTCATTTCAAAGGTATTTACGATTTTCTCCTGAAATTATAAACAGTCTCTCTGGATTTCTACCCCAAGTTAGGCCCTGTACTTGAGCACTAGATTCTACCTATGGACATCGCTTAGCCATTCTTTCTCCTACTAGATCATCAAATTTTTGCCTTTTCTCAATATTCCCATCAGCAGACAAATATCTTTTTAAAACCTTCTAAGCCATTTCCCTCACTAGATGCCACCTGCTTTTTTTGGTGCCTTTGCAGAAAAACTAGAAAATCTGTTTTATTCTTACTAGCTTCAGTTGTCTTCCTCTCACTGCTAAAGCCCACGCCACTCACTCTCTAGACCTCACAACTCCACAGAAACTGCTCTTAAAAAGGTCTCCCATGACTATGCAAAATCCAGTGGTCGCCCCTCGGTATATCCATACCAGCATCATAGCAGCAGCTGGTCACTTCACCATAATACACTTTTTCCTTTTTTTAAAGTAACTTCAAAATAAAAGGTGTGAAAATGCCAATGAGATGAAAATGTGTCACCAGATGAAAGATGTTCCCTGCGAGATGAGGAGACCTTAGTTCTTCTTGAGGGGAAGATTTCAATCAAGAGACAAAGTGTAGAAAAGAAAGCAAGAATTTATTGACTGCAGCAAAAATATACTTAGGACAGTGAAACAAGGAGGGGCACAGAAGCAGCAACAGGGGAGCCTGGGCTGGGTGGCTCTGGCCCACTGGGAAGTCAGAGAAGAGGGGGCCTTGGGACAGGTTCAGGGACGAGCTGCCGCTGCCCATTGCTCCCCTGGTTGCAAGTCTCATGGGGTCCCTTAGAGGTTAGGGGACACGTGCCCGTGGGGAAAGGGAAGGGGTGGGGATGGCATGGCATGCTCCCTGGAGGGAGAGCACCATAATACACTTTCTTTAATTGACTCCAACACACCATGTGCTCCGGGTTTTCCTCCTGCCTCCCTGGCTGCTCCTTCCCAGGCTCCTGTACTGATTCCCCCTCTTTTTCCTGACTTTCGAATGTTAGGGTGCTCCAATTCTCAGTTCTTGGTCCCTTTCTCTGTAACTGGCGATCTCATTCAGTCTCATGACTTTAAATAGTATTTACATGCTGACAACTCCTAAATGTATATACCCAGCCTAAACATAACCCCTGCACTCTGGACTCAGATATCTGGCTGCTCACTTACAGCCTCCATGTAACGTATGACAGACACCTCAAGCTGGACATGGTTGAGGCTGATTTCTGATTTTCCTCATCCCATACGCCTGTCCAACTACCATCTTCCCATTTTTTATTTCCTCAGACCAAAAACAATGGATTTTTCCTTGATTCTTCCTTTTCTCTCACACTCCGCAAACCAATTTGTGGTTCTACCTTCAAAATTTATCCAGAATCCATCCATGTTACAACTCTGCTAACATCTTGATTTGAGCCACTGTCATTTACTGCCCAGTTTACTGCAAGAGAGTCCTAATTGGTCTCCCCGCTTTCTCCCTTCTACCCTAGAGCTGACTCACAGCACAAGCGGGAGCCATCTCTCATATCATGTCACTACTCTCTCAAAACCTTACAACAGCTCCCAATTTCTCTCAGATTAAGGCCAAAGTTCCTATAATAAGCTACTAGTCCCCATATGATCTGGCCCCCCCAGTCACCTGTCTTACCTCATCTCCTGCTTGTCTTACTTATTTTATACACTGGCCTTCCCTCCGCCTGGAATGCTCTTCCCCCAGGTAGCTAGCCACACAGCTAACTCCCTCACCTCCTCCAAGTCACTGGATTAGTTATCTTTGTTATCTGTTTCTGTGTAACAAAGTACTCCAAATCTTAGCAGCTTAAACAGCAGACATCTATCATCTCATAGTTTCTGTGCATCAGGATTTCAGGTGCAACTTAGCTGGGTGCCTCTGCCTTAAGGATTCACTGCTGTCAAGGTGTCGTCAGAGTTGAGGTCTCATCTGTAAGCTCCACTGAGGGCGACCCACCTCCAAACTTCCTCACATGGCTGTTAGCAGGATTTAATTTCTCATGGGTTATTGAACTTAGGGGCGGGAGTCTCCCTCCGTTCCCTGCCACATGGGTCTCTCTGTGGAGCAGCTCATATCATGGTCCTCAGGTCCCATCGGAGCAGGTAAGCAAGCGTGTGCAAGACACAAGACACGAGCTCTCTGTAACCTAATCTCGGAAGTGACATCTTACGGCTTTGGCCATATTCTGTTTGTTATAAGGGAGTCAGTACGTGCAGCCCACTAAAGCACACTTCTGAGAGTTCAGGATAATCATGCAGTTTGAGATTACAAGCAATTGGTGTGGGGCAATGAAATAGAATGGATACTCTTTCTTCTCTCCCATACTCCAGAGTCTACAATTCTGAGAGTAAAATTTGTTAGAAGATGAGTGTTCTCCATGAAATCAAGCTCAAAAACTTAAGAGATGGAGGAGACATCTTTTACCTTTTGTCTTTCATTGTTCAATAGTTTTGTTTTTCCATTCCAGAATTCCAGATTGTATAGAATAAGTCCTATCCACAATGATGATTTTATGTGCTTTAATATTTTCCCTTCTCAGAACAACTTTCCAGGTCGTCCAAGTTGTTAAATTGTGTTGTTCTTGTTGTTTGCTGTAAGAAGGACATAGGCTATTAACTCCGATGAATTTTATTTGCATTTCCTGGATTGCATTCTCTGGAATGTCTTTATCAGGGTGTAAGTTAGTTGCACAAGCGCGTGATAGTGATACTACGAGGGTGTGTTGGAATGAATACGTCAGATCTGAGTATGCCATTGTTGGCATGCCCACTAATAAATTTTACATATTCACAGGATGTAGACTTACCATCAAGATCAAAAGGCATTTTGGATATGCACAGACCCCAAAACTGGCTAGTAGAGGTTCACAAAGGCATGGCTACCTACAGGCTGAGCACTCACTGTAAGTTGCCTTGCAATATCCAGGCCTACCTTTCATTTTCATAACTCAACAAGGTCTGTGTCCTTTACCATAAAATTCAAACTTTTATACAGTAAGAAATAAGAAAGACCCCCAAGGAAAGTACTTAGTGGTATCATAGCACCCTGATTTGCCTACTAAAGGAGACAGGGGGTTGTTTTGTGTGTGTGTGTGTGTGTGTGTGTGTGTGTGTGTGTGTCTTTTTAACATGTTTTTATTAATTTCAGAGAGAGGAAGGGAGAGGGAGAGAGAGATAGAAACATCAATGAAGGGAGTCATTGATCAGCTAACTCCTGCACGCCTTCTACCGGGGATCGAGCCCACAACCTGGGCATGTGCCCTGACTTGGAATCAAACCATAACCTCCTGGTTCATAGGTCGATGCTCAACCGCTGAGTCACAGGGTTAGTAGGCTGGGCTAAACCAGTCAGTTTTTAATAAAACTTTACAGGCACTGTCATAAACCTTGCTCCCTCCCTCATCCTCTCCCACTGGCATACTGTGTATTCTGATTAAATTTCCCTAGTCAACAATCTTTTATAGTTTGGTCTTAGACAAAATTTACAAAACTACCTTTGCAAACTCGGTGAAGAAGAAGGCCATCTTAACCTTGGATCCGGGAGAGAATTAAGTCCTCCTAGGAAACAAGGGGGGAAATGGAAATCAATCACGAGATTCTCTGCAAGTATAGGCAAAGACAGAAAGACTCCTACCAAACTCAGGAGTTGGCAGACACGCACACTTGTGGAGTATAGGAAATACAGTGCTTACTAATGGTATTCCTCCTCCTCGATCAGATGATCAGATCTGATTTTTTTTTTGTACTGACTGGATCAGTTCAGTGCCTTATATAAAAAGAGAACTTACCTATTCCAGTTCTTTACATGTTACTCCTCTGAAAACGGAATAACAACTTGTCTGTTCAACCAAGTTTACTTGCTGTCTACTATATGCAAGCTCAGAGGTAGGCTCTGTGGTGCACAGAGGGTTATATAAGACAGATTTCTGCTCTCAAAGAGCACACATTTCAGTATTTGTCAAAAAGCTATTGCCTTAATTTAAGGTCATGGAGGGAATATGTCAGTGCCATCATTTCCCCGCCACCTCATGTTCTCTTCTATATATAGCTCAAATCCTGATGCTTGACAAACCGTGGGACCATCTGCAGGGCCAGCTTCAAGAGCATGCAAACACTGCCATTGCACACGGCTCCACTCTCAGAAGAGCTCCATGCTGGATTTCATCCTATACAGTTGTGCCTTGAAAAATCTCAAAAATTTTATTTTTGAATTTGTTATTGGTAAGTGAAGTCCCGGGGGACAATGGAGCATGCATGTGAGCAGTGGAAACACGATGGGAGGTAACGCCTGCATGTGTGCAGAAGGCTCAAGCAGTGCAGGCACCCCAGCATGCACACACATGCCTCAGAGCAGTTCAGGGCGCTGCTGGGCGGGGCCTGGGCCCACACTGCAGTGTGGTGGTGGCAGCAGTAGAAGGAGAGGCAATAGCTGATAGACATGGGTGGCAGCTCTGGCCCCAGAGATGGGTAGGGACTCTGCACAGGAACGGTGCCCAGCCCTGCAGTGGTAGGCCAGCTCGCCAATCCCTGTGTCATCTACATAAATATCAGCTCTCCAACCTGACATGGCGAAAGTAACTGCTGGCACTCAGGCAGCAAACTTTATCGGTATATTAGTACAAATAAAAATGTATATATGAGAATTGCAATAAAACATTTCAGGGGATTATTAGAGTTCTTAAAAGGTTTAGAATCTCTAGTTTTGAAAACTGCTGCAACCCTGCAAAGCAAATAAACACAGGTATAGAAATTAAATGTAAAGATCATCACATTCTATAGAAAATAACACTATTTTCATATGAAGGTTTGAATGAATCAGTTTTTTTGTTAATGAGAGAGAAAATTAAAATTGTTTTCCTGCCCTGGCCATATAGGTCAGTTGGTTGAGTGCTGACCCATGCACCAAAAGGTTGCGGTCAGGGCACATGCCCAGATTGCGGGTTTGCTTCCTGGCTGGGGTACATGGGGGAGGCAAGCAATCAATGTTTCTCTCCCACTCCCTTGTTCTCTCTCTAAAAATCAATTAAAAACCATATTAAAAATAAAAAATTTTTTAAAGTTGTTTTCACTTGTAATTGAATATATGACAGAAGGCATAACCAGGCCTTTTGAATTACACTCAAATCATGAAGACACTTTCAGCTGCCTGAGAAAACACTATAACACCATTGTATAAATTTATACTTAAAATTAAATTCAAAATTACATAAAACTAATTCATATGAAGAATTAAATCTATTTAGAAAAGTTATTTCTAAGGCTCAGCAATCTAGAAGTGCTAAGGTTTATATTTCAAAATATTAGAAATTTATCTTAGTGTTGTCATAGCCTCTAAATATTCCTAACAACTGCATCAGCAGAACGATTCTTTTCAAAATGAAAATGACCTAAATTTGTGATTGCACATTTGCCAAGAGTGACTGATGTATCTCTTGAAAAAGAAACTGCATGAAATGAATTTCTGATCTATTGAAAATGAAAATAAAACAGGTATAAATCTTGATGAGTTTTCAGACCAGAGAGCCAGAAAATTTTCATAATCAATCAAGATATCACATTAATAAACTATTATCATTTATTGTATTACATAGAATTGACACCAAAAATATTATTTTTGCAATTTTTAAGTTCATTGAGTTACTGATGTATCATTGTTACTCATATTACATTGGTACCTTTCACTGAACTCTTTTTTCCCCTGCTTTTTGAACAAGGGTCCCAAATTTTCATTTTATACTGAGTCCAGCAAATTATGTAACCAGCCCTGACCACAGGTAAGAGTATGGCAAATTTCTGTCATAAGCTATTATAGAAAACAGTTCATGGTTATGAATGCTTAAGAAGTGTAGAAAAGAGCAAGAAATCCAAGAAAATGCATGTTCTTGGTGTGTTCCATATAACATCTATCAGCTAGTAGGCATTTAATCTATGTTAAAACAATGTAATAATATGGCTAGAGTGCAGAATTTGGCATACAGAAAAATCTGTTTGTATTTGATCCAAAACAGACGTCACAAAAAAAGCACTTTAGGACAATGCCTCCAATGAGTTGGCATCCTCATTAAAATTATGGCCTTTGCCATCCAAAGCATGAGCTTAACAGGGATCAACATCAATTCAAATGAGGGCCAAACTCAGGTACATTGTAGGCAGTAAGCCTGTCAGGTTGTCCTTCTACGGGCATTCTGCGATTTTCCAGTACGGAAAGCTATTTTTCCAAAGAAACAGTACTACAATATGGAACCCCTTCCATTCTTAGTTCCTTCAGAACTGATGACTTCCAATAAACTTTGCATAGAAACAAATTCACAATAGAGATGACTTACGCTTGAAAATGAAACATCAGGGGAAAGCACTTAAGCCAAATTTGCTTCCCATAAAGCTAAAAAAGATTCACTTAATTATAATTGTTTTTATTTTTGTATGATGATTGTTATATAAAACAAATTTATTGCAGGAATTGAGACACATAAAGAAGATGCACATTTATGCAAAAACAACTTTAGTCCTCACTTCTTGACTTTAATGGAATTACAGATTTCTAAGTGATATAATTTTGTGTCAGTGCTTTTAATGGCTCCACGTTAGCCACATTTCTAGTACTAATATTGTTAAAATAGACGGAGAAAAGCTACAAGCATGTAGAGAATTACAGTGAGAGACATCATAAAACAATGTTTTAAAAATTAGGAAAAATAGCCTGGCCAGGGTGACTCAGCAGCTGAGCATCCACCTATGATCCAGGAGATCAAGGTTCGATTCCCAGTCAGGGCACATGCCTGGGTTGCAGGCTTGATCCCCAGTAGGGGGCATGCAGGAGGTAGCTGATCAACGACTCTCTCATCATTGATGTTTCTCTCTCTCTCTCTCCCTCTCCTTTCCTCACTATAAAATCAATATTTTTTTTTAATTAGGAAAAATAATCGCAATAGCTGTAAGAATAGAATGAGAAAATAAGTATCCATAATATATAAAGCCCTCTTACAAATCAATGACATTTTTGCAGCATGCCTCCGTTTTCTAGGCCGGCTGTGTCTAAGTTAACTTTGAAAGAGAAAGACCAGTGAAAAGGAACTGCATAAGGAGAGAGTAGCAAGGCACTGCTCTGTCTGGGTGGTGCTGGGGTAACAGAATGGAGTGACTGGGGATATAGGCTGACAGAGCCACAGGCATGCATTGGCCCCAACTCCCTACCTTCCCACTCAGCCTTCCCTCCCATGACTCTCTATATCGTTACCTAGCACCAGAAGTTTGGGTTTTAAAGTGAAAATAATTTAATGAGTTAGAACAGGGTCAAACAGAAAAGTGTGTTGTTTATCAGATAGCATCCCATCAACGCAGTGGTTAAATTTAAAAAGTAAAAAACAAGACTAGCTATTTTTCTAGGTGAAGTATCCCAGGAAGGGTGGGACTTGGGCATGTTTGCTGCAGGCCTCTCGTTACCATGCAGGTGTGATTCCAGTTGTATGGAGAGCGTACGGTTAGGGATTTTTATATTGTAGGTCTGTAAATAACTATGTATGGAAATGAAAGTTGGACAGGGAAGAAGGCTGATAGGAAACAAACTGATTCAGTTTGACACCATAGAAGTATGGTGTCAGAGGAGAGCTCAATGGATACCCAGACCTCCAGGAAGATGAATTTAAGCCTGAAACATTGCTGGAGGCAAAAATGACAAAAGTGAAACTGTCCTACTTTGGGCACATGAAGAGAAGGCAGGGTTCGTTGAAAAAGACAATAATGCTGGGAAAAATAGAAGGCAGGACAAGAGGAACACTGGGTATGAGATGGATTAACTCCACAAAAGAAGCCATAGGCATGATTTTACAGGAGCTGGGTAGGGTTGTTAAGGACAGGACATTGTGGACACCACTCATTCATAGGGTCGTCAGGAGTCACGCGTCTGGAAAGGACCAAGCTCTTTGCTCCAGCATGCAGAGAAAGGATTGCAAGCTGGCAGACTGCAGGACAGACCCAACTCAGGTAGGTGTTGTTTTGCCTGCACAGTTTTATAAAATTCTGAAATAGTTACTGTGATGATTAACTTTATAAGTCAACTTGGCTAGGCTATGATGCTCAATAGTTTGTTCAAATACTAACCTAAATGTTGCTGTGAACGTATCTGTAGATGTGATTAATATCTATGATCAGTTTACTTTAACTAAAGGAGACCACCCTCAATAATATTGGTAGTCCCCATCCAATGAGTTGAAGGCCTTGAGAGCAAAATCTGAGGTTTCCTGGAGAAGAAATTCTACCCCAGGACTGTAAAATAAAAATATTGTCTGAGTTTCTAGCCTGCTGGCCTGCCTTGAAACAGTCTTGTCAGCCCCAACAATCACCTGAGCCAATTCCTTAAAGTAACTCCCTCTATATATGTATACACACAGATATACTTACATATGTACATACCTGTATGTATATACATAACACATATATACTTATACATGTACTTATGTATATATACACACATAAATATTCATATCTGCAAGGGAAGTTGGGAAATGTCACAGCAGTTAGCTGTGGCCATGCAGCTAGGTTCTAGCCAATATGATATAAACATACATTTTGCGGCAGCTTCCTTAACAGACATGTACCCATTTCCCTGTTCTTTTTTTCAGCCAGTCCTGCCTGGAACAGGCTGTTAGAGCTCCCACAGCCATACTGGGTCATGAAGATAGAGGCCACACCCTAAGAATGAAAGAACATACAGTTGGAAGGAACCTGGATCCTGGATCATTGTGCAGCTGCTGGATCTGTTCTGAAAAGCCTCTCTTGAAAGAGAAACATCTTATCGAATTTATGCTAGATGTTACTTTGTATATTCTGTTACATTTAGAGAAATGTAATCCTAATTTTAAAATGAGGAAATTTCACATAAAAATTTGGATCTCTTGTTTCTTCCTTGACAGTTCAGAATGTCTGGTAAACTTGGAGTCATGCTCCCCACTGCGGCCACTGCCTAGGGCAGGATACTGGCTGCTTGCTTGCTTTAGACAGCACTGGAGACCCCAACGAGGTTCTTTTCCTTTATATAAGTTCCTGGAGGCATGTGAGTTTCCCATCCCTGATATGGATGTTGGGGTTTTACTTCTATAACCAGTGTGACAGGCCCCTGTATAAACTTACTTTGCTCTCTTAGGCAGTTTCTCCAGCTACTGTTTCGGGGAGCGGGGCAGAATAGAAAACTCTCTTTCCATCATTTTCAGCACGAGCATTCCCAGATTGGTGTAATCCACAAAGAAGGATGTTTCTGATGCTGTTGGACGCAGGGCTTTTTCTCTACACTGCGAGATACCATGTCAGTCACAGTCCTACAGGCCTGCCTGTGGGAGGAGGGAGTGCAGGTCTCAGTGTCCACAGACTTTTCATGTTGGGGAAGCTCTACTCCCAAGGCATGGGAGGAGGGGATCAGAGGATCTCCCACTCCAAGGCTGCAACTTTTCCTATTTTAAAGACCGTCATCTATTTTAATGAATTTGTATTCCTTTAGTCCACGCAATTTTGACTCAATTTCTCACTAACACTCAAGTCTTACTCTAGTGAAAGAGCATCACCCTCTCCCAATTTCCAACCAGCTCTCTGCCTTGAACCACATCACCAAACTTCCTGCACTGCTTTAATAATGCAGAGAACAGCCTAAGAGGGTTTCCCTTCATCTGGGGGAGGGGCTTAGAGGATAGGGGTTGGAGTCTTAGTTGCTGTCGGACCTAAATGGACCTGGCAATTATTTGGGGAGGAGAGATTCAAAGTTGAAGGATTCCTGGTGAGTTAAAGACTGATTCTTGTCTTTGGCTATGAATGAACTCAAGGCCACTAAGATGTGAGCAGAAAGTAAGATGAGCTCAGTCTCTCAGAATCAGTCCAATGACAAAGAAGGCATAGAAAACCCTTCCAGGTTGCTCAGGCCTTTTGGGAGGAAGGTAGGGGTGTGAAATGAGGCTGACCTTTAAAACAGAAGGTATCACCCAGCTGGTGCGGCTCAGTGGTTGGTCTTGGCCCTATGAACCAGAGGGTCACGGCTCAATTCCCACATCTAGTCAATGACTCTCTCTTATCATTGATGTTTCTATCTTTCCCTCTCCCTTCCTCTCTCTGAAATAAATTTTAAAAAAGTTTAAAGGGGAAGGTATGATAAGACCAGAAACCCGTTTTTGAGCCAGACTCTGTATCTAAATTTGTCTTTGTCTTTTTTTTCTTTATCGAATTTACTGGGGGGACATAGGGTAATAAAATTATATAGGTTTCAGGTATACACTTCTATAACACATCACCTGTATACTGTACTGTATGTTCACCACCCCGAGTCTAGTCTCCTTCCATCACCATTTCCCCCCTTCTTTACCCTCTTCTTCCTCCCCCTTCCCCCTTTCCCTCTTGTAACCATCATACTGTTGTTTGTGTCTGACACTTCTCCAAAGAGGACATAAAGATGGTCAATGGACATATGAAAAGATGCTCAATGTCATTAATCATCAGAGAGATGCAAATTAAAACCACAATGAGATATCACCTCACACCTGTCAGAATGGCTGCCACCAACAAGTCAACAAACAACATACGTTGACAAGCATGTGGAGAAAAGGGAACCTTAGTGCACTGTTGGTGGGACATAGACTGGTGCAGCCACTGTGGAAAGCAGTGTGGAGGTACCTCAAAAAATTAAAAACAGAACTGCCTTATGACCCAGCGATTCCACTTCTGGCATATATCCAAGAAACATGAAAAACTAATTTAAAAGAATCTATGTACCCCTATGTTCATTGCAGCATTATTTACAGTAGCCAAGATCTGGAAGCAGCCCAAGTGTCCATCAGTAGATGAGTGAATAAAAAAGCTGTGGTACATTTACACAATGGAGTACAATGCAGCTGTAAAAAAGGAAATCTTACCCTTTGCTACAGCATGGATGGACCCAGAGAACATTATGCAAAGTGAAATAAGCCAGTAAAAGAAAGACAAGTATCATATCATTTCACTTATATGTGGAATCTAATGAACAAAATTAACAAACAAAATAGGAGCAGACTCATTGATACAGAGAACAGTCTGACAGCTGTCAGAGGGGAAGGGAGTTGAGGGCTGGGTGAAAAAGGTGAAGGGATTAAGCAAAGGGAAAAAACCTCATTTGTCGTTTCTTTTTACTGTCAAAATTCCATTAAACTAATGATTCACACATATCTTAGTATTGCCATGGCCAGGCACTATTTTAGGCCTTGGAAATACCATGAGCAAAACAGGTAATATTTCTGCCCTGATAAAGCTTACATTTCAGTTGAGGGATACAGATAATAAATATAACAAGTAAACAATTATATAATCAAGATAATTTCAGACAGTGATAAGTACTATGAAAAAAGCTTTTAAAACACAACTTAAAAAAAGGTGAGATAGCATGACAGGATGAGGGGAGGGTCTAATTTAGAAGGATGGGCAGGAAGATCTCTCTTGAGGAAGTGATATTTACCCTCAATGATCAGAAGAAGACCTGGAAAAGTGTGTTCTAAGAAGACAAACAGCAAGGACAAAGGTCCTGAGGTGGAAACAAGCATGGTTGGGCATGGCACATGAGGTAGAGAACACCAAGAGATGAAGTCACACGTAAGGTGGGGGTTAGATCACACAGAACTTTCATTCAGGGACTTTGGACTTTATTCTAAGGGCATTTAGAAGCCATTAGATAAATGCTAAGCAGGAGAATAAAATTATTTCCTTTAATTTTGAAAGCTCACCCTGGCTGTTGGTTAGATTATAGATTGGCAAGAGTGGAAGCAGGGAAAACACTTAGGAGCCTATTTTAATAGTTCAGGTGAGAAGTGACACCTAGCTTGGATGAGGTGGTAACAGTAGAGACAGAGAGAGGTGAGCAGATTCAGGATCTATTTTAGAGGTTGAGCCAACAGAACTTGCTAATGAATTGGATATGGGGTAGGAGGAAATAAGAGGAATCTAATAGGGGGATGGATACTGTTTCCATTCACCAAGATGGGAAGCCTGAGGAGGAAACAGGTTTTTTGGAAGGAAATCAGAGACCTACTTTGTCCAGGTTTTGTTTGAAATGCCTGTGAGACATCCAGGTGGAGGCGGAAAGCTAACAGTGGATAAATGAGAATTCTTGGAGCACGTACTTAGCATTCCTTTTTTAATTTTCTGCCCACTGTAGAAGCCTAGAAAAATCCCAGAATGGGCCTGAAAGGGCAGTTCCCCCTTTCTCCTAGAACAGCGGAGTTCCCCTCCAAGGAGCCAGGGCCCCATCATCTAAGAGTTTTAGTGTGCCTATGGGTAGCGATAAGCTTCAGTGCATATAATAGAAATGCTTTAGAGTTGAGAAGGTCAAGCAAGTTGTAAATTGCTATTTGTCATTAACTTACATTTTAATTTGCCAGGTGCCTCCTCTTTAATTATGAATGATCTTCAGTGACTCCTAGTATATAAAGTTTCTGGTTTCTGCTTCCCCCTCTCCTTTCTCATCACTCCCTGTCCTGGCTTCTCTAATGAGCCTTTACTCTGTGGACTGTGTAAAGTAAAAAGCTTTACTCTACCTTCTGATGATTGGGGGGAGGGGG